CAATTACGTATTTTACAGTTTTTAATTCTTCAACCTATAGGCTATGGTGGATAATGTACTGATGCTTTTAAAGTAGAAACGTATAGTATCCCATATTTTCATTCTACTTGTCAGGAACGTTGTGGGAGAAAAATTCAGGCCAAGAAAATGTAGGTACCTACTACCCGAGCCACATTTTTATGTCTTCGTCATAGGCATAACTAAGAGGGTTGTAGTGAGAAAACAGACCATAATATACGCTGAAATCCCCCCTCCCCATAAATATTTTTTCGACTATTTATGAAATTTATTTATTTTTATATACCATATGGTATATACATATATAACCATACGATTTCGAATTTTATCATTTACACACTTAAAAGCAGATTTATTGATTGATATCAGTCCACCTTGGTTATAAGTATTTTATGTGATAATAGTTATAGGTATATTCAAGTATATAATATTAGCAAAAATGTTTATCTAATATCGTATAATGATAATTTTTAACACACCACAAATAAAACAACAAGACTGTTGCAGATAAATTGTTATTCATATTCATTATTCTCGGATAGTKTATTTATTTTACTATTTATAGTCTTATATAGACGAATCTGATCCTGCAAGTCTAGTAGGTATATTGTATAAAGTATATTAATAATAACTACCTGCAGAGGTATTTACATTTGTTGGTATACATTTCTTTACACTGAAGTGTATACTGTTTTGTTTTGAAATTCATGACTTATTTAATCAGATAAAAAAAAATAGATTTTTAAGCCAACATAACATTTTTATAAAGTAATTTGAGTAAATTTGTTTAATTACTCTTAAAACGATATAATTCAAAGTTTTTACATGCACTCTTTCTGAATGGATATATTTAAACCATTTTTAGTGCCCCAAAAAGTAATAACAGGCATACAAAAAAAAAAAAAAAAATGTAAAATCTATACATTCATCGCTCCACTCAAAATTTAAAATATTTAAAATAAATAACATTATATTCTGATTTGTCAGAAACTATTTTAATGTTTTGATTTTTAAGGTTTTAATAGTTTAAAATCTATAGTGTATTTAAAAATTAATTTATAAACAAACAATTTTGCCAAAAGTCAAAACAGATTAGGTAAGTAGATATATTGATAAAAATATATTAACTATATATATATTCATGGTATATTTTTATATTAGAATTTAGAAGTCGCTAGTTAGTAGTTATAATGAATTTTTTTTTTTAATTGAAAACTTTTTAAATTTACTTTATTTATAAATGGGCATAATAAGTAAATGAAATGAATGAATATAACATGAACATTAGTTTGAATGACTTGAGGGGGACCGTTCAGCAACAGTGCCTTCAGCGATAGTTGGGTTGTTTTATTTTATTTTTTGTATGTTAGCCCAAGTTTGTCATTTATGTGAATTGGCTTCTAATTATTTAGTTGTATTTTGAATTGGTAAAGGTATGTTATTGAGGGATAGTTGGGAATAATCAGAAAGTAAAATTAACTTGTACTGACTGGTTTTGTCAGTGATTCAATATATTTAATAGATTATTGAATGATATAAGGGAAAACTAAATTGGTTCTTGGATAAGAATTTCTTTTCTTTGATAATCGGCACAATTCTTTGTAGTAGCAACTTTTTAAAAAGAGTTTTTCTAATATAGGTAGTAAGCTTATTGAACGGTATAAAGTTACTAGATGATTTAATTTTTCAAATATAGATAGTAAGCTTATTGAATGCTATGAAGTTATTAGATGATTTAGTTTTTCAGGTTTAGAAATTAATGATAGTTGAAAATATTCATATTGGAGGTATATAAGATGATCTATTGAAATGATGCATTGAAAATATGTATCAGAAATAGGATATAGTATTTTGTTGTTTATTAGATCATATCCTGGATATTTATTGACTTATTGTTATGTAGATTTATAATATGTAACTTTTTTTTATAAGGTGAGAATGGTTTAACTGGTATTATCATAGATAAAGGGCTACTTAGGAATGGATGGCAATGAAATATTAAATAATGAATATTATGTAGAGATATTAAATTATATATTTTACAATACAATATGTGTACAAATAGATAATATGTGGGATTGTACTCTCTCTTAATATTTATATGATACGGAAATTACTCTAACATACATTATACCGGGTGATTCCTTTATCACTAAACACTCCTTATTTCAAAAAAGTATAAACGTTTTATGAAACAAACATTTTTAAACAAATATATATTTTAAAATTTTAAAAATTTTTAAACTTTTTAGAATGGCAACATACAATTATAATTTCATATTTCAAAGCAAAAAATTGTTCAAAATATTTCAATGTATAAGAATTTAATTTGAGACAATTAGCTTATAAGTTGTAAGTATTTAAAGTTTGATGAGCAAAATGAAACATGGTTTACTCATTAAATATGTTGATCCATTACTCAGCTCATTTAAATTCTAAATACTTATAACTCATAAATTACTCATTCTAAATTCGATTTATAAGCACCAAAATACTCGGCAAACTATTTTGCTTTAGAAGATGAAATTAAATCCGTAATTGTAAGTTGTAATTCAAAAAAGTAAAAACTTGAAAATTCATAAATATAATTTGTTAGTAACAATATTTTTTGTAACAACTTAAGAGGACGCTACATCCGCCTGTGTGGTCTCCGTCTTACACGCATACTACATAGCRAAATTTCGTTCGCTAAATTCAATAGTGTGCTGTTAGTTTTGATATTAGAGCGAATTGACCCACTATCAAACTTTTAGGTACGGACATTATCTGTGTTCTCATGTTGGTTTTTTACGATATTTTAATTTTTAAATAAGTCATGGGCATGTTAAGAATGAATATTTGAAAATTCACTTAACTCATTTAAAAATTAAAATATCGTAAAAAACCAACATGAGAACACAGATAATGTTCGTACCTAAAAGTTTGATAATGGGTCAATTCACTCTAATATCAAAACTAACAGCACAATATTTAATCTAGCGAACAAAAATTTGCTATGTAGTACGCTTGTAAGACTGAGACGACACATGCAAGTGTAGCGTCCTCTTAAAACCATATGAAAAAATATTTTTAAAAACATTAAAACTTTTAAATATTAAGTATTCTAAGTTAAATGAATCACCCAGTATATATGATAATATTAAATAGGATACTCCATTACGCATTTCCTTATACACAATAAATGTTGTCTAAAGCCCCATCCAAACCGAAGAAACATTTATCGAAATGTTTCTGATTTTTCATCGACAATATTTTTAGTTTCCTATCATAACTGGTAACATAAACATTTGTTGGCGACAATGTAATAAATATTAGTTTCTGACCAATATTTCTCAGTCTGGACAGGGCTTTATAAGAACTGTAGCATACACTAAATATATAGAAAATTGTGGGATATCAAACATCACAATATAAAATATTCGTATTAAATCTATTGTTTCTAAACTTTAATCATCATAATATGTCCCAGTATCTTCATCACACAGACCATACAGTTCACTATAGTAAGCTGTTAAAGAGTTATACCTTGAATTAAGCATATTCTGTTGTACCTCAATAAAACCATCTTCTGAAGATTGAATGCACTGAAAAAATATAATGAAACATGTGTTATATGTGATTATTTGATAATTATTAGTTATTACATATTTCTCATTACTAAGGAACAAATTTATATGCACAAAAAATCCTCAAAATATGCTTCCAAAAATACTGTAATTTGCTAAACTTAAACATATCACTGATAACAGACTCTATTTCAATGTACTAGTTTAAACGAAAACATTTTATTTAAAACTATGTTAAAAGTAAGTATTTTGTCGTCTTCACTAAGTTCTTCACCAATCACATTCTTAATACACAATCATAAAAAATGAAAAAAAAGTAATTCATAATATTTTACCTTGTTGTACTGGATGATCAAATATTGTCTTATCTTACAATTATGTCTTTGACAATCAGTCATAATTATATTGTTATAAATATTTGAGACAAATAGTCAATATTATTATTATTATTATTTTATTTWATTTGATAATGAGTTAAGTATTACTCACTTTCATAAGTAATTTGATAAATGATTAATTTGTGTGGCAGTGAATAAGAAAATATAAGATGGAACAAAAATATGTACTAGAAAATAACAAAATATACAAAATACAATCATTTTAATAATAATGATCTAAATCAGGGATAATCCTCATCAAATTTCAAACAGCTTAGTTTACRAATATATGCACTAAATTATAAATCTGTTCCTTAATAATTACATTAAACACATTATTTTGTCTTACATCAAAAATATTAGTATTCTTAGGTAAATGTAGAGCAATATTTGAGGTGATTTGCCGAGTCAAACTCATCATTTCTTTTATGCCACCTTTCTCAGGCATTATGTAGCTCATTTTGTATTCTTCAAGGTCTGTAAAATCAGGACCACCCCATGGTGGTGACAAAAACACAACATCGCCTTTAAGAGTTGGCGCTAAAGTAAAGTAATCACCAATGATAAATTGAATTCTATCTGCAACACCATATAACTCTGCATTGTGACGAGCCATTTCAATTTTTTTTGGATCAATATCAATAGCTATAACTAAAATACAAATATAAATTCAAATTATTAGTGGTATGTGTGAAACATATGACRTTTTAAAACTTACCGAGCTCACAAGTCTTAGCAAATTGAATAACATTACTTCCAGCTCCACAAAATGGATCTACAAGCAAATAGCAGCTACATCGTTCAGCTATATGAATGCTAATTATTTCAGGAGTAACAGAATACCAACTCTCTGAAACCAATTATAATTTATAAGACATTTCAAATATATCAAGTTTAATATTTATGGAGATTAAATTATAATTATTTAAATAATATGTTTTAATATTTAATTATAATCTGTAAKTACACAATTATAAAAATACCTTCATCTAGTTTTATCCCTTTATCAAATTCAGAAAATAACAAATATCTTTTTTTCCAATATTTCAACAATTTAGGTTGATTTTGCAAATAACTATAGCCCAATCTATCCATTTGTTCAATAGCATTTTTTTCTTTCATATCTTTCCATTCTTTTTTTTTTAATGCTTTTTTATTTTTGACTTTACTCTTCTCRCAATTCTCAGAATTACTTAATAACAAGTTATCATCAGATACTGATGCTCCATGCTAAAAATATAACAAAAACTTTTTGTTAAAAAACAAAAAAATTAAAAATTAAAAATAGAAATAAATTTAATAATGGAAATGAGGATCATTGATTTTTATTCTTCATGAATAATAAAGAAATAAACTAATAATAGTAATAACTAATATTAGTTCATATAAATAACTTAAAAAGATAAAAATTGATCAACATTTAAATTTWAAAAAAATAACATGAGATGTTTAATTTATATTCTTGTCACAAATAGTACAAGAATTTAATAAATACCTGATATAATAACCAAGAATATGACTATAACTGTTAATTATAAGCCAGTTGTATGCTGGAGAAAATTGATTAAATATGCCTTATGTTTGCTAAATTTAAATCATTTTAACAATATCATATCATTATACTCTACAAGCAAATAAGCAATACATTTTTTAAACACTGAAATGCTGAAGTCGATTAGGAAAAAATAAGTTTTTTATATTTTAACACTCTAATCATAAATACTGTATGTCTATAATAAATATTAACATAAATAACTATAAATATTACATCACTTTGTCACCATAATAATTAGATTTTTTAAAGTCCATGCTATTATTTAGACATTTTGTACTTATCAATCTTATTAGACGCTAGTAATCAATCAAGAAATCAATGTATTTAAAAAAAGATATTAATCAAAACCACRGCTGTAGWTAGGAATACCATCCTATCTACAGCCGTGATCAAAACTAACCTTTTTTGGATACCTGTACACATTTAGATGACGAGTAGATTTAATAATGTTTTTTTTAAGATACTGAACAAATCCCATATCAAACATATTTTGATCATTATAAATATGTCCAATTATACTTATTGCCCAATAAGCTTTGGAAAGTTGACTGTTTGCTCGTTGAAAATGTCTAAAAACATAAACTTTATTACAACAAAACTAACTCAAAAATAACCTGTTGAACAATAAATACTGATTTTTTTTAAATATTAGGTAATTAATCAATTTATGAATACATAATATAATGATAGTAAGTTATTGATTTTATGCTTTGATATATTTTATTTATTATAGTAACTACTTATATTTAAATTTATAACTTACTTATATTTGTAAAGAAAATCAAAATTTGAAACATGATCATCATCATTTTCTTCGTTATGGCTTAAACTCCACTCATCATTCTCACTGTTTGGACATAATAAAAATAATTTTATAATTAATTGATGATATAAAAAAAAAATTAAACTAGAACTTACGAATTCTCAGAGATAGACTTTTCAGTTTCTGAAACAGTARGACCAATCTCATTGATAAATTTCCAATATAACATATTATACTGCTGTTCCTTATGATTCTGATATAATTCTTCGGGGTTTGTTGGAAGGTCATCTAATGTGCAACTTCCATACAGTTTTATCCAAGATTCATTAACCAAGTTTTCACCATTTTTTTCCCAATAAGCATACCATTGAGCATGTAGTTGAGATTCATCGGTACTTAAATTTGTAAACTGTTCTTGAATGATTGCACAATCGTCTTCATTATCAGGTACTGTTTGCTTAATGTACCTTGCATCTAATTTACTAGAAGCAAGAAATACAATTATAAATYGCTAAATGTTAATAGGGGACCCCTGACAATTTTCAAATGTTACAAGAGAAGGTAAAAATCTAACYRCAGAGGTTCCTTTCTAATATTAAATGAAAAATTGTTCTATTTCATCATTGTTATTCACAGCAAAAGTCTGTTTTGAACATTAAACAATAGCTCTACCTATTATTTATATGAATATACAAAAAAGTATTTTCAGTAGAAATGTAGAAGTCTCATTTTAACATTTAGCGATTCAAATAGATAACATAAATAGCGTACCTATACATTTATACATTTTAAAATCAACAGTTTAATCATTTTAAAATGTATTCAACAATATAGTCTAACATAAACCTAATCTTCACTTAACAACTAAATAAAATACATCATTAATTATTTATATGTACCTTAGATAACTTCGGGCCAAAAGGCGACTACATAATAATTTAACATACTGATTTTTTGAAGTATTGGCATGAAATGATATTTCTGCAAGTACTTCATACTTACAACTAATGTCAGAATTTAAATTATTCATGATCTGTAAATTAAAAAAAAAAATAATAAATACAATTTTTTGTTCAAAAACAAACATAAAAATCAAATTAAAATTAAAAAAATACACCTAATATAAGCAAAGAAATAAGTAACATATTATATTATACATACCTATTGATATGTTTATATCAAAAGTAAAATACATAAGCTTAGTTCATAATTTAATTGTAATGTTGTACGCTTGCATAATATTATGAATTACTTCGAGATAATTTTTTGTCCACATGTGCAATGCAAAAAGTTCCAAATTATTTTGTTTACTTACAACAATTTACAATACTATAATTATATTATATAGGTAGTACATGAAATAACGGAGGTATTATCTTCTCTCTTGAAAATCTTGAACAATTTATGAAGACCATAGTATAAACCCGAAAAATGTCAAGAAATTATGGACCAGATAAATCCCAATAGATATTATTCGAATATTGGCAGAATTCAGATAAGGTAACAAACAATAATATTATGATCTATGATTATGATAGCACTGCATCGTTTTAATCACAGCTAGTTATATAATGTTGTTTTGATATTTTGGCGGTTTTTTAATACAATGATAAGAAACAAATAACAAGTAATTTAAATTTCGAATTACTTTCACTTTATCTTCATGATAAATTAAATGTATTTATTTATTTAATTATATTCATCATGTTTATTATATTTAATTTTATTATTTACTAGATGTTAATTACCACTTATAAGTTATAAGAATTGTTTGCTTGATTTTCAAAATAGAAAATTAACATTTAACAGCAAACAAGTGAATTACCTACCTACGTTTTCACATTAAAGAAAATGTTTGAAGAGTACCTGTACACTTACCACGAAGAAGACCTATTCAATATACTAAAATCTGAAAACAAAAATCAACACTATTCGTTAACAATTAAGTATGTTGTCATTAAACATTTTAATCTATGAATTCATTAACAGTTGTTTGGGTTTTTAGTTTTTTAACACTTTTTGAGAAAAACGCCAAATTAGGAGAAGAAATTCTGGAGGACTCAATTAATTTGCTTGAACAGTTTGACAAAGATTTGATTAATGTTCAAAAAGTTTTGAAAAAAAATTACAAAGATAATTCGGTCAAACTCAGGGTTAAGAAAAAAATACA